TAATAATAATAATAATAATAATAATAATAATAATAATATTAAAAAATTTTTTCGTGAATCATCGTTTTCATGTCGTTGTTCAGGCAGATCTAGACCTATCATTATTCTCTTTTCTGTCTTTAGTTCTGTCCCCTCATCCTCTTCCCCTTTTGCCCTCTCCACTGGACTCCTGACTCTCTCTGCTGTCTTTCTACTGCTACTCCTTAGCTTCTTCTTACTACTGTCTCTCAGCCACATCCCTGATATTAGGGAAGGTAAGATGAAACACCTAGCCTTCTCGGATAACGGCAAAAAATCTCGGAGGTCTCGTGTACAAGTTGCGCATGTTAAAGATCCCTTGGTGGTCCTTAAATCGATAAAAGCAGGCCTTGGCCGCCACCAATTCCTACCAAACTGAAAATGCTTAGCCTCATTTATTCCCGCATGCTCATATGGCCTTATAATGCAGATGCGAGCTCCGTAAAACACTTACCGGAAAAAAAGAAGATAGTATTGGTACAGACTGAGATAATAACCCATTGATACAAGATATGCCATTCCCCAACGTTTTCTTATGCTACCCTTAGCATAATCATTATATTTCATTCTTTTGGTCAATATTGGTTACAATGTCATTACCATTTTAACGAGGAGGAGGAGGAGGAGGAGAAGAAGAAGAAGAACAAGAAGAAGAAGAAGAACAAGAAGAAGAAGAAGAAGGAGAAGGACGACGATAACAACCACAACAAAAATAACAACACAGCAACAGAAACACAATTTAAAAAAACCAGACAGACATCTCTGTTAAAACGTTACAGCGTAAAAAGCGAGAAGAATACATACTGTCAATGTCATGCAAGTCCACCTCTTTAAAGACATCATCTTCTTCGGTTATGTCGCTTGTTTCGTCGATAAACCCGCCGGCCTCCAGAAAACAGTCATATTTGTCCATTCTCGGGCTAAAAGTAGTATAAAGTACTTTTAGTTTATAATGCATGCTCCAATTATTATCCACAATACAGCCCAAAAAATGTTAACAAAATTACGGTATATTAATAATACTATGCTCAAAGCTTCTCAAGACGTTTTAAGATGCAATCTCCTCCTCTTCCTCCTTCCCACTCCTCCTCCTCCTCCTCCTCCTCCCCATTCTTCTTCTTCTTCTTCTTCTTCTTCTTCTTCTTCTTCTTCTTCTTCTTCTTCTTCTTCTTCTTCTTCTTCTTCTTCTTTGATATGAAAATGACATAAACAACATGGAAGTGTGTCTACGAAGGGGAACAACTTAATAGCCAATGTCCTGCTAAGGGAATGAACCACGAGCGGGTCTAATTATTTCCCTTACATAACACTATATATCTACAGTGGTCTCCGTCTAAGACACTCCTCATAAGAACTCACTTTTAGCGTGTGACATAAATTGTCCTCCTTATTTTGCACACTTGAGAACACTTTCTATAGATATAAACCCGTCGAAGAACCGTTATGAGCTAAGCAGAATTACCATTTTTCTGCACAGCTGTACAATATTATGTACGGAATGAGAGAAGGGAAAGAGGTTGGTACAGACTAGCGGCTGGCAAAATCTACACACTGCAGGCAGGTTTGCAAGT